TCTCTCTCTCTCTCTCTCTCTCTCTCTCTCTCTCTCTCTCTCTCTCTCTCTGATTATAGATGATCATTTCCAAACACCAAGAGCTAATGGATATCTTATCTACAGAGGAGAAAGAGAAAAAGTGGAATTTCAGATTAGGGAGATGTGTAAATTGTGGGAAACAGTGTGAAATTAAAAAATTTTAAAAAGCCAGTGTCACATTTCCCTGAATCCTCAAAAGAGGCAAATGCAAGTGTCAGTGGATAGATTTCCTTGTTGAAGTTGCATAGAAAGAGATTCCACTGAACCAGTAGACAGCAGTGATTCTGTTAGCCATGGTGAAAGTTGTCCTATACAATAACCCTCCTCCCCCTTGCCTCTCTCATATCACCCATGAAGGTTTACCAAGGTAAGTGCAAGTTAATTTGTCTATTTTTCTGTATTATTTTATATTCTATGAAAATATCATAATCATTTTTATATGAATATTTTGGGGTTGTGGAAGAAATCATTTGAGTTTCCTTTAGTTCTTATGAGGAAACTCACTTTGATATACAAGTGCTTTGGATAACAAGCGTGTTTCTGAAATTATTCTTAAAAACCAAATTTTTAGCATATTGAGGTATTTAATTTTTACCAAAGCCTTTTGGAGAATGCATCTTGTTGATCCCTAGTCAACAGATTAAAAACTGGGCAGTGGAGAATTCATAAGTGATTTTCCCAAGGAAGTAATAGAGCTGGGATTGAAAGAGGGTTGGCTCCAGGGTAGATGTTGTTAACTGCTGCACTAGGTGGATTCCTTAGCAAAATTTGGCTAAGATTTCGTGTAAGCTTTCACTCATTTAGTAAACACAACACTGAGGACACAGTTGGAACTATCTCTAGAGATCTCATCTCCTATTTTGTTTCTAGAAAGTGCCCATCTTTTTTTATAAAGACCAAGGCATGGACCTCAAAGAATAAGACACTAAAAGTCCCCCAGAGTGGCTGTCCTCTCACCAAACATAAGCTATTATGGACTAACAGGCTTTGATGTAAAATGAATGACTACAGAATGCCAAAGCTAGAAGTGAGCACAACCCTCTCTTCACTAGAAAACTACATCTTATCAGCATAATGGAGTCATGTGGGTTAAGAGCAAGAAACTTTGTATGGTGATAAAACTGCCCTCATGCTTAAGTTGTCAAAGGGAATATAACAAAAGTGCTGACTATCATGCATTGGTAGTGAGGATCAAACTCAGGGCTAGGCAAGCTTTTATTGCTAAGCTATACCCCCAGCCTACATTTATTTATGATTTGAGGAATCCAGTATTGCTTATAATTAGTTAAGAATGATGCAGTACGTCAGATATTTTACTCATTCTAAAATATCTGCTGAGCCAAAGCTTGGACTAAACCCTAGATGTTCATAGCACTTTCATTCAGTTTGGTTTTGTTTTTCTTCACTTGTGTATCTTGCTTTTGTTTTGGTTTTGCAGTGCTGGGACTGAACCCAGGGCCTTGTCATTGAGCTACATACATTTTTATATTTCATTTTGAGACAGGGCCTCCATAAGAACTAAGCCACCTCAGCTAGGCTTAAACTTGTGATCCTCTTACCTCAGCTTCCCAGAGTGGGAGGAGTACAGGTATGTACACCATGCACAGCTTCAGTCAATAATTTTCCTTATATCTAGTTTTTAGGTTTTAGAAAGCCCAGGATATGGAATTCCATACTTCTTTTTTTATGACATTTCTGCTCTATTGTTTGTTCCAGTACATCTGTTGTCATCAATAGTTATTCTTTATTTCCAAAAAATGAAGTTTTAGTAAGTCAAATTTTAATTTTATGTATATAATGTCATCAAATTTATTTCATATGTATAATAGTACTTCGATAAAAACAATCACAATATTATTTAATTCCAAAGCTTTTGGGGGGTTATAAACACATTGGAAATTATGTCTCAAAGTTTAGTAAATAGCATTAAATTTGGAAAATGAAACATTCACTTTTTTAATGTATTTAGTACAGGGTCTCACTATGCAGCTTGGACTCAGATTTGTAGCGATCCTCCTGTTCTCTGCATCCCCAGTGCTGGGATTACAGGTGTGTACCACCATGACCAATCTCAGTGCCAGTTCAGCATGCCTGGGGGGTGGGGCCAGCAGCGCACCTAGTGCCAGTGATCAAACCTGGTCCCTGCTCTTTCTCACAAGCTCAAAACATTCACTTTTATTTCATTTAGAAATCATTAGAAATCATTAACACTTGAGTCTCATTTATAACAATGTTGAATAATCAGAGGTTAAAATTAAAAGTAGACAGACCCAGTTCTAGCCCAGGTCCGGTGAGTGTGCGGAGAGTTTCCTGCTACCCTGC